GAAACTGTAGCAGCCTGAAAGCCCTAAAAGTGAAAATGTCAGCGAGTTACCTCTTATGATGAAAAACTGCAGAAACCAGAGAAGCGCCAGCTAACCGAGAAAGAAATGGAAGCAAAACGGAGAGAAATGATGGAGAATGCAGATTGGAGAGACAAAGTTCGGGTACACAATATAGGGAAAAACGCCAGGCGTGATGAGGAGGAAGATAAAAGGAATGAAGGGAAAATTGCGAATTTTATCAGGTTCTTTTTACAGCTTCTTGCGTATCAAATAAAAACTCTTGGGCAGTAGGTGGAAGATCTCATATTATTTTTACAGTTGTTTTTTGCATGTCAGATGTTACTGATTTGCTGCCTTTGATTAGCATTCACCGCCTATTCAATTCTGCACCACCTTTTCGGAGGTTACCCAAGTGAGTTTTGTCCCTTTCCATATTTCTTCCCTTTAGTAGTATTTTCTGGGATTGCTTGACTTCGATCGCTCGGCTTTTGCTCCCTTGTCTTCTCATCACTCTAATTTCGCCCGACTGAATATATGCTCATTATGTAGATGTATTCCGCCCCTATGCGTGTAGTGTATTCGCTTTAAGTGGAGTAGACTAAGGGGCTTCCTGTGAAAAATAGAATCGAAGGCTTTTGCGGAATTTTACCCAGATCAATGTCCCTTATCCACTCATTTAAACAGCACAGTCGCATGGGCTACAACAGATCAGCAGATCATGAAGCGATGATGAGGACTGGAAATAAGGGACGTAGAAGCTGCGAATTCCGAAAAACATTTATATATAATCTTTTCTAGGACACATGAAGTAATATAAGTCAGGCTTATGAGCCTGTGGTGACCAGTTTCTGATCTAAAACTCGTTTTATGGAAGGAACTAACAGTGCATTGCCATCTAGTTCATTAACGCCTTTATACTACTATGGGTGCTTGGGTCAGGATACTATAGAACTTCTCGCTTAGTTGAGCTAAATTCTCAAGGTAAAACGAGGTGTGCAGTGAAAAAACTCTTGATTTTCCGATGTGTGTTGTGACTTGTGATTCTGCCAAAATGGTTGGATTTGGATTGTTTTGAATATGGCGCTTATGCTCAGCCATGTAGCGAATGTGCAGTGTATTTTTGGTTTTCCGAATTTTTAGGCCACTTTTGAATAGCGCAGCGTCACGAATGTCGATGGAGCAACAGCTGAAAAGTCATCGAAAAGGACTTCAGCGAACGTGTGGATTCACTGAACAAAAATTCGCCAAGAGATGAATCTTTGCAAGGAACTCATGTAATGCTTCTTTTTCAAAAAAGAACTATAACGTTACTGGAAAATGGCTCCTTGAAGGGATGCGCATCATTTCTTCCTAGCTTTTTGTCTGGCGATC